TTGACCATTATAATACATTTCAATTATCATAATACATTTTGATCATCATAATTCATTTCGATCATCATAATACATTTAATACATTTGACTATTATAATTTATTTTGACCATCATGATACATTTTGACCATCATAATTTATTTTGACCATTATAATACATTTCAATTATCATAATACATTTTGATCATCATAATTCATTTCGATCATCATAATACATTTAATACATTTGACTATTATAATTTATTTTGACCATCATGATACATTTTGACCATCATAATTTATTTTGACCATTATAATACATTTCAATTATCATAATACATTTTGATCATCATAATTCATTTCGATCATCATAATACATTTCAACCATCATAATACATTTTGACTATCATAATACATTTCGACTATCATAATGCATTTCAACCATCATAATTCATTTCGACTTTTAAATTTTTTTAACATATAGTCGAAATTAATTTTGATCATTTTGACCATTTTGGATATCTGAAATGATTAATTTCGACTTCATGTATAATCTAGATGTTTGAATTTAGAATATGAATGTGCTATAACACTAATACCCAAATCAGTTATACCATTACAGCTATATATATCAAGATGCTTTAATTTATAACATGATTTCACTATTTCTTTAATAGCTCTATTGCTAATATAGCCATATTCAAAGAATTCTAGCCTTAATAGATTTGGATATGAATGTGCAATATTAATAATTGCAGTATCACTGATAGCTAATCTATATATAGCATTAAAATTTAGATATACTATATTTAGACATAAGCGTATATAATTCCATCTATGTCTCTATCCGATAGTTCATAGTGAGAGGGAAGATAAAAAGATGATATTTATTACATTTACCCTATGAAACAGTTTCAAGTCTTTGCATATAAGTAAAATATTTTCTAGATAATATAATTTAATATGTTTTTATAATATCTGTCCTGCAGTATAATACTAAAGTCAACAAACAAATAGAGCAAGATAGAGGGATTTATCTATTGCTAAGAAATGTAAAATTTGTTCTAATAGTTCTGATATAATAAAAACACTTGTATATACCATAAATAATATATGTTATATCTTTAATCAGAAAAAATAAATTTTATAAGCTAATAATCACTTCTTCATGCTATCAGCTGACTAGCCATAGCTCAGATTTTGACTATCTGCTAAATTGATATGGGATTATAAAATTATTGTCTATTGTTAGCGTTGAATTATATATATTTAAGCTTATATCATTTTTTCACATCTATAGTAAACTCAAGAGTATTTTAGAAAATTGATCAGACCAATCTGATCTGACAACTATTAATTCACTAAGTATGTTTTTATATTTCTTACCATCATTTAAGATAATACGTAGATTAACCTTTTCTAATATGAAATAAGATCTAACTAGAAACCCATTCACTCTAGGAATGCTTCTATCTTTTGCATATGTTATTTTCACATTTTTCTTATTAATATAATTTGCATCAGCGTCTATATCAATCCTAAATCAAAAATCTATGAGAGTTATTCTTTGGATTATTCAAGATTCACCTCTCTTTTTCATATATCATTTATACTGCTAGTTTGTTTTAGATTTTGGTCTGAAAAATACTCTAAAATAAATGATATTATCTTTGATAGAAGAAGCTCAAGAAGATTTGACATATGCATTAGCATGAGGATCATCCTAAATTCAGCCAATTAAAATCGACTACATTATTAATATATAAACTAAACCGGAAAAGGTAAACTCATTAAGCTATATATGTTTTATAGTTAAAATTTTGTCTAAATGTTCAGAATGGACTATAAAAACAGCGTTTTTCTTAATCTCACGTTTGGGCAGTTAATCCCTGACCAAACCTATACTCTATAGATATAATATATTGATAAAGAAAACTAAAATTTAAAGTGCGTTAAATGTAGTAGCTTGTCCTCAACAACATAGCGAAAAGTTTCAACATATATGTTGGAAAAGTTGCCAGAACCCTCAGAACAACATATTACCTGAAGCAAAAATTTATTATGTGAAGGTGATTTACTTTGTCATAAATGTTATATGCAATATATAAGTAATCCGGTAGAAAAAGCAAAATAACAATTAAAATAAAAGCGACATGCTAAACCACCATCTAATGCAACCGAACATTCATTACAAAGGGTATTGACATCAGTTTAACCTTAACCTCGGGCTTTAAGAAGCACTCATATTGTTATACCTACAAATATTTATGAACAACAACAAGTTGAATTGGCTTTTTTACATGATGTTATTAAAAAACAATAATCCAAATTGGATTCTTTACATGAGCAGGTTTTAAATACACAAGAGCAATTAGCAAATGAGATGCAAAAATGCTCTGATATTTCTAAAGGTTCATTATTTTACAAATAATATTTAAATAATGCAGGTATAATATTTTATGATGGAAAATTGGGAGGTATTTAGAAGTAAATTTACTATTAGAATTAATTTTTCTATTTTTTTTACGAAGCTATAATGATCATTTAAATTTAATTTAATTTTTGAATTTGAAAAGCTAGTTTTATTTTACAATGTATTTTTTTTAATATATTTTTAAAATTAATAAAAATAAATTTTTTTTTTTAGATATATCAATTTTTTCTCCATTATTTTAAAATTGTATTAAAAAAATGACGGACATTTTGTATTGATTCAATATCGCGAAAATAGCAATGGGATTTATGATCCTGAGGAATTTCTTAATATTATTGCTTCTCAAGCATCTGAGTTACGCCAATTTTTGATATGTTATATCAATCAACAAAACCAACTGGAAAATGTGAAAAAACCAATGCTACTAGTAAAAACTGAATTGTAGTTCTTTGTTATCAGCTTACTTCTCTTCGTAACCAACAAATAACTTTACTTAAACATGATGCTGGTTTATTTTTTCAACATTTAGGACTATTGAAAAAAGGCATTGATACTTTATCAAATATGTGAATTTCAATTACTTTTAAAACTATTAATCAAACTAGAGTAAAAATTAAAGATAATCATTACAATAATTTTTTGAAATATTTTCAAAATAATGTATGTATTATTAATTAATTGATTTTAATAATAAAATTCAATATCTAATAGCCAATTAATTTTTTATAAATTGAATTTTTATGTATTTTAAATGTAGATGATTATTATGACATTTATGAAGCTCGCCATCCTGCTACAACATCTCTTCATTATATTTCCCATATAGCTACTATTATTGTTAATATATCGCCAATTCCTGCAATTAAACAAATTACCAATGGAAAATTTATACATTCATAATCCTTTAATAATTAATATTAATGCTTTATGTGATACTTTAACTTATCAATATATGTCACATTTTAGTTTTAGTTACACTGATTGATGTTTATTCTGGTATGATCTTCCGGATATAACAAAAATGAATCTAACAGATTTAGAGGATTGGTTAACAGTTCATGTATATGCTTCTCAAATTAATTCTACAAAAAATCAACATTCTATGAAATATGTTACACTTAAAGATGGTAACAACAATTATTTTATTATGTTGCAACAAATAAAAAATTAATTAAATGTTATAACATGATTAACT